TTTTTTTTTTTTTTTTTTTTTTTTTTTTTTTTTTTTTTTTTTTTTTGGGAGGACTATTAATGTGCCACATGCCTAGATTCCAAACAACCTATGACGACTGACCTAGCGAAATTTCCTGTCGTAAAATTTTTTTCAAATAATTCCAATGTCGAGATAGATATTATAATTGTACAGTTTGCAAGCGTATATACATATATATATAGATAACCGCGTCGCAAGTTATTTATAAAGTTAAACGCTTCCACGTTTCCAACGATTCGTTCGAGGTTCGATCTTCGAGATTTTGTGTTAGATCGACCCCTCTCCCCCCCCCCCTCGGAAATTGTAACATGTACACATTCAATGAAAAGTCGTACTTTGCATTCCGTGTTCCGTACGTCTCAAAATCTTCCTATCTGCATTTGTTATTTCCGATAACTCCCCCCACCCCCACCCCTCCCCTCCGAGATATCAATGTCCATTGCATTGCGCAAGCCCCGCGATAACAACTTGCAAACGAGGTTGCAACCACGGCTATATAATATAAATGAGAATATGGTCTACATATCATTTCACACGGAGCGGCTTGTGTTGTATTAATATGTAAATAATAAATATATAATAAAAAAAAAGCGTGCGTCGATGTGCGAATGGTAGGCGCAGGGCGACAGGAGGCACTGTGCCGGCACTGGATCGTTCTTACCCCTTACCCCGATATAGGCAGCTCGCGGCCGGAGCACCGACCATGGAGAGAGACCGATGGCGAACGACGAACAAGCACAAACGCAGAGCAAGAGAATGGGATAGCCTGGCGTGTGTGTACGTGCGTTGTGTGTGTGTATGTATACACGGGTATACAGAGTGTACCGAAGGTAACTTCGATTAACAATGGTATCAATGATTTTGCGCGTTTTATGTGAAACACGGTGGGGAAAATCCTGTCGATTAAGAGCGCGCGTTATCGACAATTCTGTCGTTTAACGTGCCGCTTAATATCCGATAATAACCAACCGCGTTCGCCGCGATATATTCCTAGCATCTGCAATCGGCGAGTGACAAATTAGCACAAGGTCGTGGCCGGCTGATTCGGGCGTTAAACTCTTTTGTCGATTCTTTGGTTATGTTCGCAGTTGTCACGCGTTGTTGTCGTTTCGAGTTTTTGGTTCTTTTCTTTTTCCATAGGGCTCGAAATTCTCGGCGGTTGTTGCACAAACAGAGAAGGAAAGAAAAAAAAGAGAAAGAGAGAGAGAGAGAGAAAGGATATAAAATGCGAGGAGCGTCGGTATTTTCTGAACGAGAGATTTACCCGTGTCCCCGACGAGGAACTAGTTTTCGATAAACGAGCACCTCCTCGTTAAGTGGCTCCACGAAGGGGGCCGAAATCATACTCACCCTATATCCCGGAGAGCATTTGCGAGATAGAGAGAAAGAGAGAGAGAGAGAAGTCAAAGTGAAAGAGAGAGGAGCACGCATCAAGTGGGGGAGCGGTGTGACAGAGAGAGAGAAATATTTTTATTAAAAGAAGGGAGGCGACTTAATGGAGGGAGAGAGAGAGAGAGAGAGTGTATGTGTGTGTGAGAGAGACAGATTCCCGGCGCAGTACAACCGTGTCGGATGCTGATGCTGCATTAAGCCCCGTTTGCACTTCCGCCCTTCCATTCGCCAAGGTTCCATCCTTTTCATATCGCTCCGCCCTGCACCAATTGTTTTTCCATGATTTTAATTTTATGTAATATTCCACCGAAAATCATTCAACTCTACCTTTGTCCAATTTTAGAGTTCTACGACTCTGTGTGAAACATGAAGATACTTTTACAAAAAGTCCATATCAGTCTATATCGGATTAAAATACAATTTTCAACATCATTGTGGTTTCAACAATGTTAGAAATTTAGAAATTTTTTTTTTTTTTTTTTTTTTTTGGTTCACGATCTTTCACGGAGTGTTTTAGTAATGGTACGAAAAAGTGATCAATAGATCAATTTTTTGTTTTTCAAATGGTACCTTGTACTTTTTGGTTTGTTGACATAGTTTAACACAGAGCTTGAAAAAAAAGCAAGTTCGTCCTGAACCGTGCTGATCTGATCGTTCAATTTCGAACTGTATCGGAACTGTACATTTCGCGAATAATGCCCAAAGTCAAAGATTGCATCCAATATGAAAACATGTTTATTTGTTATCACTGGATATGTCGAAACCTCATGAAGTAATGCAATGTACAAAAAAGTAAGAAAAAGTAACAATGTAGTAGAGCATCAATGTTTGTTTCTTTCCCTAACTCGAATCTAAGTAATCTCCATAAGTTGACAAACTTTTCATGGATGGATATCGGGCATCATTTTGAATAATAAATGTTAACACGCATAAGTGAAATAATAAAACGCATTGTCAGTCATAAATACCTCTGTAACACGTATTTAACGAATTACCTTTTATGACAATGATATATCTTCGTATTACGTGCATTATATGGAAACAGTTTTGGTACGTACGAAACATATCAATTTAATTATGTTTAAATGATACGATTTGACACACAGTTGATGAGATCAATGAATTTGTTTCTTTCAAGTATTACAAGAATAGTTACGAAAGATGCGATCACGGTTTATCTCATTTCCACTTTTTCGTATCATTAACGAAATACGTATGAGACACCCTGTGTGCATGTTTCTGTGTTTGAAAGAAGGTACACAACGTTCTGTTGAACAACTATCGACGGACAATGTTACGAAGAGGAGCCTGCGCGTCTAAGGACGTAATCATAAAAGAAATCCATCCAAATGGAAGTACTATTGACTCGGCAGTGTTGCATCAGAGTATGAATGATGGCCTAATGATTTGCAGTGTCAGTCTGCTGGTTATTCGACGATCTTATCAACTTGACATTGTCGACTACGGGCGAGTTTTCGTCGATTGTGAACTTGGTTAATCTTCCTCCGATATTTGTTCGCGACTCGAGGCGAAACAGGAGGTATACCAGCAAGGTCACGTGACGGACTTCGTCCATCCAGGACGAGACGAGGGAGAATAGATAGAAGGTAGACGTCACTGACCGTGAACGCACGCGAGACTCGCGACAATTTTCGTCCACGGCGCAACGTGCACCGGCAGATAAAGCGGAAGAATTTATTCGCCTCCTCCGCCATTTCCTAATCGTCCCTTTCTACTCGGTGGTTGAGGCCACTCGCCCGTGGATTCTATTTTGTCATGTCACGATCAATAGTTGAACGCTTTGCACGACGAGCATACCACACTTTTCTAGCGGATCATTTATCTGAAAGTATTTTCAAGCTTCATTAGTGGACAGATTGGTACTTTCGTTCGAAGAAAGAAGAAGAAGAAAAAAAAATCAATGTCTCTACCCTTTCGAGCATGATTGCTGTTGGTAACAACTGCATCACTGGATACAATGATTGAACCATGACCATTTCCCTTGTCTCTTGCATATGCATGAAGCTACGCTTTCTGCTAGAAAGTTGGAAAAGTCTCAATATAGAAATCGATTTTACTTTCTAGTAACTAATTTTATTAATAACTAATAACTAATATCATACTTAGTTTAACTAATGTATAATATATGATAACTAATATCATATTTACTAATATTTACTAATATAATATCATAATATCATATTTACTTTAACTAATATATAATATATGACAACTAATATCATATTTACTCTCTAGTAACTAGTTTTAGACTAGCAATTCGTTCGTCAAATACATACGCTATAAAATTTTGGGATGATAAAACAAATAGTGTATTTACGTGAATCTCGTAATTATACGTTTTTTTTTCGATACAAGTGTCATTTGTTCGAAAATAACTAACAATATAAACAAGATATAAAGAAATAAATGAAAAAGATTCGAGATCGGAACTTTAATGGTTGGTCTTGTTGCGATAAGCCCAATTTTACAGATAGAAATCTGTGTTATCGGCTGGATGAGGTTTGAGATTCATGCCACTGGTTACTAGAGAGCACAGTGGCTCTACGTTATCGGTCACTACTATTTTAGACAAAGTTAAAAATGTAATTCTTTCCGATCGTTCGATTGAAAGTAACATGCTCTCGTGACTAACGTGAAATATTTAACTTGTATATCGTCCCAATATTTGTAAACTTGTCGAAAGACGAGCTAATGCGATACCAACGCTGTAGTCGAGTTTATCGACGCATTTCGAACTTGCATTCGCGAGACACTTTAATAATAACCTATTAAAGGTTAGTTTCATAAATATACCGAACATCTTGAAAGTGACATCCAGTAGAGAGAAACATTTGTACTTACACATCGATATCTTTCCTCATATAACCACTTCACAGGTTATGGTTTTACTTCTTTCACGATGAACAGAGATATAATTAGAAAAATGCAAGGTAAATAAGGATGACACTTGTCGTTATCGATTTCCGAAATCGATTACATTGTCGAAACCTAGTTCAAGCGTAAAATAAATGTATTCGAATTTTGGTATCCACTAATAAAACTATGTCATGATTAAGAAATTCTCACGTATATCTGATACTTCCTGATATCGCTACAGGTGGCCTGGTAAAACCATCTTCCAGATTTGGCACGCTTACACATACCAAGACGTCATCGGATTCCCTTTGGTCCGGCCCGTTTCATTCTTTCGTCCGATCCTATTGATTCTGAGTAACATAAACCAATGAACTGCTCGCTCGTTGCGTCAATCGCTAAATTTGAATTCCATTCGACTTCGTAGAAGCTGAACCTTTCGAAGCAACCTTTCGAAGCTTCGACTGCCAGTCGAGTCGACCGCTATCGAATTGGCGGGAACATTTGCGCGCGAACATTTGACTTTCCTTATACAATACGAGATTAGACGTGCAGATGTTTGGCGCGATATATCGCCAAAAATTACTCACAAAAACTATTTATACACGACGAATCGATACTATCGCGCGGCTAATAAAAGGACGAAGGCTAGTGACTGGCGTTTATTTTTAGAATATGGAGAATCTTTTTTCGGTAACCGGTGGCTCGCACGGTATTCTTTCACTTCCAATTTCGTTGCCTCCTTACAATTTCTCGCGCGAGCGTAAATTTATAAATACGACGATTAGTCAATGTTATTTCCTTTTCATTTACAGGCTTTCCGTAAAACCTGTTCCTCGTGCAAAATCTGTTTTATCACTTGAAAACGATACGCGTGCATGTGTGTGTTTCAACTTTCTCCCGAACATTCACGTTGACGTCAGAAATTGTTTTCAAGGAAATATTATATATATATATATATATATATATATATGTATATATATATATGTGTATATAAAATCGACGAATCGCGTGTTTATATACTTGTATAGGAATTTAATTGCATTGGACTTGACGTCGAACAAAAACTGTAAAAACCTAACCTAAACCTAACCTAAACCTAACCTAAACCTAACCTAAAAAAAAGTTAAGAGTCATACATTGTATGCTTGACATTGTTGTTTCATGTACTTACATGCGAAGTTAAGCTTGCTTCGCGTATTTTTCTTTTTTTTTTTTTTATACCAAAGGTATCCTAAAATAAAGATACGAGAAGAAGAAAAATTTATTATCGTCTTTAGACGATAATGTTTGTTTGTATATTTTATCTACTACAAGATAACGCTGTGGGCTACGTATATATTGTAATGATTATATCATATTATAATTCGCGTAATTACATTTATACATGTACTAAATTCACGTGTATCTAATACGTGTGATTTGTGAATCGGCAAGCCATTAGAGAAATTGAGCTGAATTTTCGATCTTTTTCGAAGATCACATCACGATCGTGTTGAAATTATAATTAATGTTGAAAATAAATTAACAAGTTGAAAATAAATTAACAAGTTGATATTATTAAAATAAATTAACAAAGGATATAAATTATGCAACTCGATCGTATTTCGATAGAAATGAAATGTCGCACGCTTCAAATAAGTATTCCTCACGCAAAGGTGACGCATAGTTTCTCTACATACCGTTCAAATACAAATAGATCGATTATAATTCACGGCTACATCCCTGGTATCGCGAGCACGACCGGTTCGCAGAAGCCGCGAAACTTGCATTTCGCGGAATGATATTTGTAACGAAGCTCAAAATTGGAGGCTCCTTCCGTGATACAGGCCACTGTGCTCGCAAGTGATTGTAACTCACACGCCTACGTCATCTCATCGGCGATAATAGAAAAATTTCCTTGACGATTACGTCACATTGTCCGATATCGTGAATTCATTGAATTTCGCATATTTCCTCACGTTCCGCGAAATTTCGGCCAACAAAGGGGCAGGCGGAGAGGAAAAATGCTGTTTGAAACAACAGTTCATTTAAATCTCATACACGAGCCACGCTGATTTAAATCCCCATTCGCTGCACCTTAGCTTCGGCTAGAAGAAAATACGAAGAAGAAATCCAAGAAGCTCGACGACATTTTTTTTCTTTTTTTTATATATATATTTTATATATAAGTTTCATTCATATCGGACGCGAGTTTACTTTGCTCTTCGAAAATAGGATAGTTGTGTTTGCTTCAGCGAATGGACTTATCAATTTCGATCGATTTCTTTTTTTTTTTTTTTTTTCTTTTTTCTATTATCGTCCGCGCAACTTTGAATAAAAGAATTCTAACTGTGATTAGAAAAGATGATAAAAAATGTGTCGTAGTAGCTAGTAGCAGAAAAATAATTAAATTAATGTTAAGCTTCAGTAGAGATGATTCTCTCTTATCACTATCATCTTACATGGTGATACGGTATTCACATGTTCTTCTAAATGACTGCTCGATTTTTATTAAAGTAAAGAAGTTTATATTCGTAAGAAGAAAAGAAAAAAATGAAAATTTCGTCTTTCGAGTAGAAGGATAAAACGATATAAAACGAATAATGTTAAGCAGCTTCAATAGAGATGATTCTCTCTTATCACTATTATCTTACATGGTGAGACAGTGTTCACATGTTCTAAATGACTGCTCGATTTTTATTAAAGTAAAGAAGTTTATATTCGTAAGAAAAAAAAAAAAAAAAAAAAAAAGAAAAAAATGAAAATTTCGTCTTTCGAGTAGAAAGGATAAAACGATTAAAAAAAAAAAAAAAAAATTCGATAAATTCAATATTGCAATTTTGTCTCGATGTGCTGTTTTCGCGGACATACGGCCGTCTACTGTGAATGTTCGAGGATGCATGCACCGTGCCGAGTAATCGTACACTGATAAATAAAGGCCTCGTGCCTCGAGAAATAACGGCCAGTGTGCTTCCAGGCATCGATGGGTGAACCACGTGAATTTCAACAGGATTCAATACTCTCTCTGTTACGTGATCCGGTGTTTCCTTCAACAGCTAGGCGTTATCAAACAAGCATAGAACTCTCGTCAGTTGGCAATGTTCGATCCATCGAGTTCGTGGCGATTTTCTCATTATTATTTGTGAGATTAGGAACGACTTCGGTGGGCTGGATAATTTCGGATAATTTTAACAGTGACTCAGCGTAAGTTCAAAAGTAGATGGTATCTACCTCTATGAATTACTTCCGCCCTCTAGTTGATTTTTATCTCTGAGTTGGAAAAATATACCAATGTTGCAAATTTTTTTAAAATTGCCCAACACGTGACACGTCCTTTCAATGAGACAATATTCGATTCCGATTGTCGGAATCGGAGATCCGGTTTTACTTTCGTCGTCGAAATGGCGGGAATTATTAAGTCGACGGCCTTAATTCTTCAACTGAATCGTTCCTCGGACGACGTTCATACAATACTACTTCTGGATTTTCATTATTCAGTCACTCGAAAGACGTTTGGCAATCATTCCACGGCCAAACGAATAGTTTTCTGAGCACTGATCAATTATTTATACCGATAATGTTAATCGTTGCTTGTTCTAGGCTCCTTTGAAAAACCACGGTTCATATTCTTTAACACTAAACGTACCATTTTACATGTATCTATATTTACCATGAAGGGTCGTTTGAATAAACGTTGATTTCTTTAGAAAGAAATTCTTTTTATTAAAGGAAATAATTTAAGCAACATAACTTCTGATTTCTAATAAAATATTCAAACATATATTTTTATTTAAAAAAAATATATTTTTATTTAAATTTTGAAAAGGGGTCATTTGACCCCTTATGAATGAACGTTGATTTCTAGAAAGAAATTCTTAATTTACTAAAGGAAATAATTATACTTCATAACTTCTGATTTCTAATAAAATACTCAAATCTAATAAAATACTCAAACATATATTTTTTTATTTAAAGTAAATTTTGAAAAGGGGTCATTTGACCCCTTATGAATGAACGTTGATTTCTAGAAAGAAATTCTTAATTTATTAAAGGAAATAATTTCAATAAGCAACATAACTTCTGATTTCTAATAAAATACTCAAATCTAATAAAATACTCAAACATATATTTTTTTATTTAAAGTAAATTTTGAAAAGGGGTCATTTGACCCCTTATGAATGAACGTTGATTTCTAGAAAGAAATTCTTAATTTATTAAAGGAAATAATTATACTTCATAACTTCTGATTTCTAATAAAATACTCAATTCTAATAAAATACTCAAATATATATTTTTATTTAAAGTAAATTTTGAAAAGGGGTCATTTGACGCCGGTTGGTACGTTTACTGTTAATTTCAACCCACTGACGAGGGATACAAATAGTAGAAATTCTTGGAACAAATAGCAGTACGTACCTATACGTACGAGGAAAATTCTGTTATCAAACTTGATACAACCTCAGTGCCATTATCTTTCAGTCTTTGATCGATAGCAAGACCATAATCAGGCGAAGGAGAAGCTGCAGGCCAATGATATAGTGTGCGGAAGTGACTTAAGTTGACGAACAGTGGTTTCGAGGATCAGAATTAATTGCAATTGAAACAAGATCGATGAACGATCTGTATAAAATAATTACGAGAAACATATGTGTAAATCATAGTCACATTGTCGAGTTCAAAAGAAGTATATATATCTATATATACACAGTGGAAATTGAAAGAGGTGCAAAATGTCACCGACGAATGGGACATTCAAATTTTCCCAAATTCATTTCTACGCGCGAGATCTCCCTCAATTTGCCAGTGTAATTTTATTAACGAAGAAGATCACTTTGTAAAGCAAAAGTGGCGGAACTCGACGAGAGGATCTGCATCGACGGGTAAATGTTTTGGCAACGTTATAACAATCTTCATGGCAGTTCGATAAACAGAACTCGGAGGAACAACATGCACGGGATTTCGAAAAAGTGTCTGGCGCTGTTGCAAATCGTTCTTTGCCAACTGGCGATCAGTGAAACGCGTATGGACAGTGAAACGCGGATTATATCCATTCCTTTGGTATGTACATACATGTATGAGACATCAATGAAAATAATTTCGATTCAGTTTCTGACGAAAAAAAAAAAAAAAAAGGAAAAGTGAAAAGTCACAACGTACTGAATTTCAAGCAACTCTCGATCGAACGTTCGCCTAATTATAAATTAAGCAAATCACATCGAATTCTGATGTACGTACGATTAATATAGATAACTGTACGCTTGTTTACTTATTTTTAGATTTTTTTTCTATATCCGTCCATCATTGAAACATTGAAAAACACAGCGGCGCAGTGTGTGACAACTTAATCTTCCCAATTATAAATAATAACTCTGACTTTGTAAATAAATATGAAAATTGTTAATTGAGAAGCTCCTAAATTTCAGTAGAAAAAAAAATAAAAAAATAAATTTCAGTAGAAAAAAAAAATAAAAAAATAAAAAAAATAAATTTTCTTTCACACATGACACGTGTGATTTATTCCATCGATCTTATATTTTATTACAGGAAAACGAGACAGTGATACCTGAGAAGTACAAGAATTTACCTCTGGTTGGCAAATGTTGCCCGCTGGGCGAGATTTTCGTAAGAAATGGCACCAAGGCGATTTGCGCCCCGGATCCTTCTTTCACGGCTGGAAATTTCTCGCCCATATTCTACGAGTTTAACGCATCTGGCTACGAAGTTCCCGGCCAGCCTCGAAGTCTATTTGTCGTGATTGTCGGTGATCCTTGTAAATACAAGAGGTGAGCATACAAATACTTTAAGCCTTCGATACTCGTCATCTTTTCTTTTTGTTTTTTTAATCTGAAGTAGAATTTAATGAACGAACGAAGCAGAAAAAATGAAGAAAAAAAAAAAAAAAAAAGAAAACGTGACTTTTTTTTTCAGCGCAAAAAACTGTGAGAAACAATTTCATCTTATCATCATTCTATCTATCGTATTTCGTATTCAAGGACAATTGCCGGCCTGAGAATCTTTAATCCGGATGTAAATATTGATGAATGAATTTCAAATTATCTTAATTTCATTTGTGCGTGTAAAGTATTCGTTGCACTTCTGACAATGCAATTTGCATCGTGTTGCGTAAC